CTCGTGGGCCCGGGGACCTGCCTTTGGCCGCCCGAAGTGGGCACGGAAAGAAGGGGTACAATGCCCAACAACAAATGTTGTCCCAAACCAACAGCGGCCGCTGCTGGGCAGGCGGCCCTTCTGTCTCAAATGGACAGGGCCCGCGGCGACACCGACCGCGAGCCCTGCTCAAGATCAGCAGGAGCTGCTGCTGGGCATTGCTTGGGCGCCCGAACTATCCGGGGTAACTCGGGTCCGGGGTAAGTCGGGTTCGGAATCCCGAAAAAAACCAGCCCGAGTTAGCCCTGACCTGAGTTACCCCTGATGATTCGGGGCTCTGGACGCCCGAATTATCCGGGGTAAGTCGGGTCCGGGGTAAGTCGGGTTCGGAGTCCCGAAAAACGAACCCGAGTTGACCCTGACCCGAGTTACCCCTGATGATTCGGGGATCTGAATTGTACCCATTCGTTCCGTACCCATTTCGGGCGTCCAGGCTGCTGCAGAAGGAGAGGCCATACGCCTGTTGCCCGGCACGTCTGTGACAGGGGGAGGGGGGGTCGTGCGGCCCTGGAGGTGGGTTCCGACACCGCCCAGATCGTTCCACCTTGGATGATCGGCGGCTTTTCGACCGCCAGACCGATACATATCGGACGATTCTGGGCCGCTGGCGGGATATGGACGATATTCCGACCGTTCCATGTCGTTCCAGATCGGACGAGTCTGGTATGGACGATCGTTCAATACATGGACGTTGCATAACCTCGAACGCCCGCGCTGGGTCGTCGCCGCGTCGTCGGGGATCTACTGACCCGGGTCAATCCAACGTGGAGTCGGTCAGGCCTTGCAGGATCCCGCAAGATGCCGCAGGCTCCTGCAAGACCCTGCGCCCTGGCCCGGGTCGGTGCTCCCCTGTGAAGGGGCCTTGGGACACACACACACACACACACATAAACAGACTCAAATAACAGCATTCCTCATATTTTCCCGTACTTTCGTGGTTTTAGTCTCCCCCCCACTTCCCATATTTTCCCATCTTTTTTGCGGAATCGACGATTCATCGTGTCTGTGTGTTTTGTCACCGCCTGACCCTGGCTCTGCAGGACCCTTCGAGAAGGTCCGGCGCTCTGGCCGACCCCCCCCTCCGCACGACCTCCCGCCTCTCGTGGCCCCCGGCGCCGACACGGACCCGAACCTGCCATGAGGCGCCTGTCGGGGGCGCGCAAGCATGGATTGGCGATCCGTGGATCTGGCGCGCGGTCGCAAAATCCACGTCCGGAGGTGACGTGCTGAGCGGCAGCGTTTTCTGGCGAACGCCTTACATATTTATCGATTGCATAATTGCCACATGTTGTATTGTGTTACATTATTATGTCTCCCCCCCTAACCCCCCCTGGGAGCTGCGCCGCACCGCCGGACCAAAGTGGCCCCCCCCCCCTCCCGGGGCTCAGAAACATACCAAAACTGATAGAAAATCGATGATTTCGACCTCTTGGGCCTCTTGGGGGGCCGAGAGGGCGCCAAGACGGTTCAAGATGGGCTCTGTGCGGGCCAAAACGGCCCCGAGACGGTCCGAGATGGTTCCAAGAGGGACCAAAAAGCCCAAATGACGGCCCAAGAGGGCCCCAAGAGGGCCCACAACTGCGCCTCCAGAGGCCAAAATCATTGATTGTCTTATGGTTTGGGCACTATTTTAACGTTCTCGCCTTTGCGGCCCAAGCAGCTTCGCAAATAGCTCCAGCACAACCCAAGAAGCCCCCAAGAGGGCCCCGAGACGGCCCAACAGAACCCCAAGACGGCCCAAAGAGGCCCCCAAGACGGTCCAAGAGGCCCCTATGACGGCCCAAGAGGACCCCAAGACGGCCCCAAGGCGGCCGCGAGAGGCCCCCAAGACGGTTTCCGAAGGAGCGAAACGGCGCAAAAGCGCCCCAAAACCGCCAAAGACGCCCCCAAGAGGCCCCAAGAGGCCACCAAGAGGCCCCCAAGGGGCCCCAAAAAGCCCCCAAGAGGCTCCAAGATGTCTTCAAGAAGCCTCCCAAAGGCTCCAAAGAAGCCCCCCAAAGGCCACACAGCGACTGCCCCAAGACGGCCCGAGATGGCCACAAAAAGGCCCCCAAAGCCCCAAAGACGGCCCAAGGGGGCCCCAAGAGCGCCCACAAGAGAGCCTCCAGAGGCCAAAATCATTGATTTGTTGTTTTAAACAGATTTTAGCGTTCTCGCCTTCTCCGCCTCTCAGAAGCCCATGACGGCCCAAGCAGCCTCCAAGATGGCCCCAAGAAGGCCCAAGAAACACCTAAGGGGGGCCCGAAAATGCAACGTATCCAACGGATCCAATGGACCTAATGATTCACAATTGCTACATGTTGTATTGTTTTACATTATGATGTCTCCCCCTCGAACCCCCTTTGGAGTCGCGCCACTACGCCGTACCAAAGTGACGGCCCCAATTCTGGTGCTCTCTCTTTCTCTCTCTCTCTCTCTCTCTCTCCCTCTCTCTCTCTCTCTCTCTCTATATATATATACATAACAATTTCGGTTTTTAGGGTCTCTTTGGGACTCCAAGAAGGTCTCCATATGGCCCGGGGTGGCTCCAAGACGGTCAACAACGCACTCAAGACGGCCCAAGATGGCCCAAGAAAACCCAGAAAGCTCCCCAAGACGGCCCAGGAGGGCACCGAGAGCACCCCCAAGAACGCACCCAGAGGCCAAAATCAATGATTTGCAAAAGTGTTTGAAGGATTTGGGCGTTCTCGCCTTTTTCGATTGTCAGAGGCCCAAGACGGCCCAAACAGCTTCCAACATTTCCCTCAGACCGCCCCAGAAGCGCCCACGGGAGCCCAAAGACGGCTCCAGAGGGCCCCAAGACGGCCCAATGAACCCCCCAACACAACCCAAGAAGCCCCAAGACGGCCAAAGAGGACCCCAAGAGAGCCCCAAGGCGGCCGTGAGAGCCACCCAAGACGGCCTCCGATGGGGCGAAACGGGGAAAAAGCGCACCATCACGGCACAAGACACCCCCAAGAGGCTCCAGGAGGCACCCAAGAAGCCCCCAAGAAGCCCCCAAGAGGCCTCCAAGAGTCTCCCAAGAGGCTCCCAAAAGGCCCCACAACGACTGCACTGAGCGGCCAGCTGACGGTCTGGACCAGGTGCAGCACGTGGCTCATCGCACGAACTCCACTGGGCGCAGCGCGCCTCCAAGTGCAGGCCACGACTTGACTGTACGTACTCCGGACGTGCACCCCGCGAAGCGAGAGGAATCCATGGATCGGGGGAGGTTTGGGAGTCTCGAAACGGTGCGGTGACAGACCGTGCGGTGACCTGGGAACCCCAAGAGACCTCACCGCACGGTCCGTCATCGCACGGTCTTGGGACCCCGGAGGCCCCTGTCGCCCGAGACGTCCTCGGAGAGGGACTCGTGTCCCAAAACCGTGCGGTGACCCCGAACCCCCACCGACCCACCGCACGGTGTGGTCACCACACCGTTTGGGGCCCCCCCAGAGGTGCCCTCTCCCCAAATGCGGCCGGCGCCGCCTCGCCGGGCGGCGGACATCCGCGACTTCCCGTGGAGGCGGGACCCGGCGCTGATCCACGTCCCCCTGATCCATGGTTGCGATCGCCCGACCCCGGAGCTTGAACTGCAGCGTCGGACCCCCTCCCCCTGCAGCCAGGAATCTTGCCCGAGGCCGCCTCGTACAAGCCATCCGGCCACCTCCCTCCCTCCAATCACGGGCTGCCTCCCTCCCCCCCGCCCTCGTCGAAAGCCGCCACCTTCATCCTGGTGGTAGCACGGGCATAAGCGCATCTGTGGGAGCTCCGATATCTGCGCGCACGGCAAAAGATGCGGCCCCGCCCAGAACACGTGGGTCTCCTCCGACATGTACGACCGATCCCCCACCTGATGCTTTTCAATGGCTCCTCGTCCTCCTCCTTCTAGTGCTCCGTTCGCCTCCTCCTGCTCCTTCCCTTCCTTCTCCTCCTCCTCCTCCTCGTCCTCCTCCTCCTACTCCTCCCCCTCCTCCTCCTCCTCTTCCTCGGCCTCCTCCTCCTCTTCCTCCTCTTCCTCCTCTTCCTCCTCCCTGCCGTCCTGGTGGCTCCTCATCCACCTCCTCTTCCTCCCCCCCCGGTCGGCCTCTGCCGCGCGCTCCGTGATCCTGCTGATGGCGGAGCTGGCGCTCTTGAAGTCGCCGTGCATGACAGACATGTACGATACTCGGATCACCTCAGGCTCCGCCTTCGTGGGCAACGGAGCGAGGAATACAGAACAAGAGAGAGAGAGAGAAGAGACAGAGACAGAGACAGATAGAGAGACAAGAGAGAGAGGAAACCAAAAAAGAGAGACATGGATACAGAACAGTCGGAGGGACAGGCGGGGAAAGGAGGACAGGGTGAGAGGGAGAGGCCAGACGGGGTCCGAGACGGTTCGAGAGACACTTGTTGAGAGTCACGTCAAGAGCCCCACGACAAAAAAGAGGGAGGAAACCTGCAACTCACTAGGCAGGAGCATGATGAAGTAGGAGAGGCAGCGTCTGTGTATATCCGTATATATGTAGAGATGTGTGTGTGTGTGAATCATTTCGCTCCCCATCTATTGCTTGCGCTCAAGGTTCCTCAAACTCAACCTTTAAGGGAATCATTTGCTCTGGCTCGCATGGTGCTCGCCCGTGGGCGCCAGAAAAAAGGCGGGCCTACCCTTCGAACGGCGGACGCGGACGCGGGGAACCGTCTCGCCCGCCGCCGCCAGCGCAGCCGCCGTCGTCGCCACCGCCGCCGTCGCCGCTGCCGCCGCCGCCGCCGCCGCCGTCGTCGTCGTCGTCGTCGTCGCCGCCGCCGTCGTCGTCGTCGTCGTCGTCGTCGTCGTCGTCGTCGTCATCGTCGTCGGCCATGGCTTCGTCGTCGACCACGGCGTCGTCGCCGCCGGCGTCGTCGGCCCAGAGTCACGGTGGGGACGGGGCAGTGCGTGGCTCGGTCCTCATCGTCCTCGTCCTCGCTCTCTCCTCGTGTCGTACCGGTTTTGCCTCCTCGTCCTCAATCCCCACTCGTCCTCCACTTCGTACTCGTCCTCGTCCTTATTCTCGTCCTCCTCCCATCCAAAAGTCAAGTCACCATCCACCAGCGGACGACAAAGGGAGGGGAACATGGTAAATTTCATTACGTTGATGTTGCCACGATAACGAACCAGTGACCTTGGTGCAAGTGTGTTTTCCATACCAGCATTAATGCACGTCTGCACAATGTGCTCTCTCTCGAACACAGGGTCTGCAAAGGGAATGTGAACACACTTACTACGGATCCCGATGTGCCAGACAATCTGGTGTGAAAGCAGGGTGGGCAGGAATGCAATAATTTACCGCATCCTCTTGACCATGTCACGCAACACGTTCCAGGGCCAGTTGTTGCTATTCTTTGAGTGCACCCTTTGTGGAACAGCCTCTTAACCTGTTTTCCTGTCCCTGCGCCCCCCAGCCATGAAGGGATGGTCGCTGACGGTGCTCCGGAGGGGGCTCTGGCCGCCAAGAGGCTAGCAGAGGGCATGGACGAGCTGCTCGCACAGACTCTCAGGCTGGTCGCCACCCTCGCTCTGAGGAACAGCCTGGAGATCTGCGAACTCCGGTCGGCCACATTCATCAAAGTATCTTGGTGGGCTCCTGTTCCACCGCCACCACCACAACTGGGAGGATGGGGGGCCCCCCCTCCTTCTCCTCCTCCTCCTCCTCCTCTTCGTCCTCGTCCTCCTCCAACTCCTTCCCCCCTCCAACTTTGGGGAAGCCAAAAAGTACGGATACCGCTACTCCCCAGACCTCTCCCGGGATGCGTTCTGCCCAGAATTACGAGACGAATCCAGCAGTGGCAACGAGGGCCTCCCAGGAGGCCCAAAAAAGGGAAAACGGAGGGAAGAGGTACGGGTACCTTTTCCCCCTCTGAAACTTCTGGTTCAGAAGCCGGGCGAACGCTGGCAAACCCATGGCTGTTAAAACGGAGCTCCGGGATTTTTTTGTTTCTTCCAGGAAACAGCCCGTTAACTGATTATTGCGGTGAGTTTGATTATTTGATTTGTTTTTCTTCCGGGAAGACCGTTTTAGCAGCCACGGATTTGCCAGCCCTCGCCCAGCTTCCGAATGGTGGTTGTGGTGATGGAAAACAAGCCCATCAGATTCTGCCAGACGGACCGCAAGCACACTGCAGAGGCCCTGGCGTGCGAGCCTGCAATGCGCCGACACGTGCAAGGCTGCAACCGATGGGCCGATACAGAGGTTATATAACACATGTTCGTTATGTTTAGTTGTTTTGAGATGTTATCACGGCTTATATGAGCGCAGCTGGTGGGTGCGCCCCGCGCACCTGTCTAACCTACCAGACCACCCCAACCCAACCCGCAGATCCAAATTTCAAATTTCGGGTTGCGGTGTGTGTGTGTGTGTTTTCAATGTTCCCCGACACCCCCCCCCACTGGAGATGGAGGGCAGATCGGGACCTTCGGGTTGGGTTGGGGCGGTTTGGTGGGCGGTCACGTCTGGGCAAACCTCACCGCCGTGGCAGCCACGGACGAGCACCTTGACACCCGGAAAGCGGACCCCGATGACAAGCCACCCCTCAAATCCTGGCGTCGCCTATGTTTCACCACAAGCGTTTTCGCCCGGCTTCGGGTCCAGGGACCCTAACAGATCGATCCGGCTCGAACATGGACGCAGAAAGCTGGGGTCCGGGGCTCCGGTGGTGATTTTTTGACACGTCAGATTTTTGGGGCAACGTCAGATCGGAGGGACCGCTGTGCAACGGCGGATCCTGACGCCTTGGTCCATGTGGCACACATGCGCAAGGCTCGCAGAGCTTTCGGGGGCTCGCAGAGCTTCGCGCAGAGCCCCCACTCGCCACTGCCCCCGAGGCCAAGAAGCCGGCCCGCGCATCGTGGTCCAAGGCAACTGTGCGAGTGGCGGAGCGCAGCAGTACGGAAGGGCCCCCCGCGCGGGGGGCGGACGCAAGCTATACAGGACCCTCTGGACTCTGGACGAGCTCGGGGGCCTAGATGTTGACACCAACACCAACATCGTTGGTGTTCCTCCACCGAGGGGAGACGATCCCCATTGCGGTGATGGTGGTGGTACTCGGGCTTCCTAGCTGGCCGAAGTATGAAGATGGCCGAAGCATTACCCCAACGCCAGAATCTGGGATCATCCTCCCCTGCGGAGGCCCCCCGCGCGGGAGGCGGGCGCAAGCCACAGGACCTTCTGGACTCTGGACGAGCTCTGCCAGGTCGCCCCGGACGCGCCCGGAGACGACAGCGTGGAGGGACGCGGGGATGGACCCGTGACACGCGCAACGCCTGCAGCCCCTCCCCCTCTCCTCCCTCGGAGGCGAGGATAGGGGCGAAGAGCCCAGGGGAGAGCATTGCACGTACCCCTCCGGGAGCCTCGCTGAAGACATGGGTCATCGGCGCCCCTGGATACGTGTATTGCTCCCCCCCTTGGCTACTCCAGATGTCGTAATAAAAGGGAGGGGGTCTGGACCCTCCAAGACAAGCCATTTCAGACCCCCCCCCGTGGGAGAACCCTCCAAAACATCGTCCCCAGACCCCCCCAGGCCCTCCAAGATAGCCTGGAAGAGACCCCCCCGAAATGAGACCCCCCTCCCTTTATTACGAAATCTGGAGTATTCGCCCCGTTCGTCGCCTCTGACTCCCTCCCCGTCCCCTCCCTCCCTCCCCCTGGCGCGCGCAGAGGGTCCGCCGCGAGGGCATCCGCCCGCCCACGCTCGTGGGGCGTATGGGCCCGCACGACTGCTTGCGGAAGCGCGCCCTGCACGGTACGCGGCGCTCTGCTCGGGACTCTGGCTTACCTCGTGCAGTGACCACCAGTACCTCCTCCTCCCTCGTCCTCCTCCTCCTCCTCCTCCTCCTCCTCCTCCTCCTCCTTCTCAAGAGAGGAGCGGCGGGGCAGTGCGGGGCTCGGGCCTCCTCCTCGGCCTCGTCCGATCGTCCTGTCGTCCTGTCGTCCCCGCCCCCGTGGCATCATCCCCGCCCTCCTCGTCCAATCGTCCTCGTCCTCCCTGCCGTCCTTGGGCTCAACCTCAGCGGGTGGGTCCTCGTGCTCAACCTCAGGGGGGGGGTCCTCGTGCTCAATCTCAGGGGGGGGGGTCCTCGTGCTCAACCCTCAGGGGGGGGGGGTCCTCGTGCTCAACCTCAGGGAGGGGGGGGTCCTCGTGCAAACCTCAGGGGGCGGGGGCGGGGCCGCGCGCAGCTCGGGCCTGGTCGAGGGCCGCGGCCGCCGCTGCGCCGCCCGCCAGCCCCGCCGCGCCGGCCCGCCCGGCGGGCAGCCGGCGGGCGGCGCGCGGGCAGCCCGCAGGGCCGCGCGGGAGGGCGCCGCGGCGAGCGCGCGCGCCGCGGCGAGCGCGCGCGCCATCGCAGGCGCGCCCAGTCGTCGGGCTCCAGCCTCGATGGCGGAGGCGGGACAGACGTCCGTCTCGTCGTCGTCGTCGTCGACGTCCTCCTCCTCCTCCTCCTCGTCGTCGTCGTCGTCGTCATCCTCCTCGTCGTCGTCCTCGTCGTCGTCGACGTCGTTGTCGTCGTCGTCGTCGACGTCGTCGTCCTCGTCGTCGTCGCCTCCGTCGTCCTGCACGGACGTCCTCTAGGGGAGCGAAGGATGACATAAACATAATAACTCGGAGGACCGCGCGGATTCCTCGGATCCGTGCTGGACCCCCTGGCGGCGCCTCCGGCGCCGCCGCTGGAGCGCGCCAGAGAGGGGGGTCCAGCGCCGATCCGAGGAATCCGCGCGGACCTCACAGTTTTTTCGTGTTTCTGTCATTTTCCGTTCCCCGATCCTCGTCGTCGTGGTCGTCGTCGTCGTCGTCGTCGTCGTCTGGAGAGGATGGCCCGAAGCGGCCCTCCCCCGAGACACCTAGATCACAACCGGGGGTGCGAAGTTAATCGCGCGTCGCGCGTCGCGGTCTGGGCCAGGACGACGACAGCGATGATAACGACGACGACGCTCACGACGACGACAGCCGTGATGTGAGGACCAGAAAACAAAATCACGAGCGGCGAACGTGTTCATATCGCCAATCCCCCGTCCTCCATCCCTCGCCGTCCATCCTCACTTCTGAATCCTCAAGCATCCTCCTCCTCGAGCTTCCTGCACCTCCTCGGACCCCCGCGGTGAGCCGCCCCAGCGCATCTTTCGTCACCACGCTGTTTGGCAAGAGAAAACATGTGAGGGAGCTGCCACAGGAGCGGCGAGAACGTACCCATATCCGTGCCCTCGCGGTCTGCGACCGGGGGAGCGGTCCCGCGGACATGCGCGATCGCACAATGACACATCCCGCGCGGGGCCTCCGCAGCACAGAGGCCTTGCATCCGCGAGGTCGCGGGTGAGGGGCCCCGCACGCGAGGCTGTGAGTACGGATCTGTTTTTCGCCCACGATGAAGCGGAACGGGATGACCCACGATGAAGCGGAACGGGATGATGGCGATCCTGACCAGTGGCTCCTGACTGGCAGTCTTCCCGCTCGGAAGACTGGAGCATGGAACGAGCGTCGCCTCGCCAAAACCACAAGGACGATCACCTGCGACCTCGTTGGGGGAAGACCACTGGCCCAAAGCAGGACCCTCCGAAAAAGGAATATCCACAACGGGCCCCATGGGCACCATCCTCCCCGCAGCAGGCGCGAGAGGGAAGGGAGTCGGAAGCCCAACCCACTTGAATCCCACGCCGCAGCCCAGCCACGACAAGGAGCGAGGAGGAGACGGATATGCAACGAAGGTCGATACATCTGTGCGTGTATATCTATACATGTATTATATATATATATATATATATATATATATATATATTCACATACATACATCCATACATACATACATACATACATACATACATACGTACGTACGTACATGCATACATACATACATACATACATACATGCATACATACATACGTGTATCCATACATACATACATACATACATACATAGATAGATAGATACATACATATATACATACATACACACATACATGCATTTAGATGTATAGATGTGTGTGTGTGTGCTAGAACCACGCGCGCGCTACGCGCGCTTTTGGATCTGGTCGTGGCATCGTGGCGCCCAAGGATGCCAGGGCAAGCAGTGCCATCGACAACGCATCTCGTTCCACGGGGCCTTGACGGCCGACCCCCCCGGAGCCACTGGACATCTCGTACCGTGTGCGGCCCTGTTCCTGGCGTAACTCCGTCGCAGTGCTTCGTTGCAGGAAGGTTCCAAAACTGCCTGGGCTGGACCAGCCTGCATCGAACGGCCGCGAACCGGCGCCCCCTCCAAGACGAACCGCACTGGATCGGCATGGTCGCGGTAAAGACCCGAAGCGAACCGAACCAACATCGCTCGTGGACCGCCTGGGGCCGAATCGGACCGACACAGACCGAACCGGGGTGGTAAATCCACACGGAGGGGGTGGGGAACGAAACCCGAGGCCCAACAGAGAACTGCCCGGACTCCCCCCCTGCTCGTCATCGTTGTCGGCCTCCTCCTCGCCCTTTGTCTTCGTGTTCGCTCACGTGCTCGTTCGCATTCGTCTCCTCCCTTGCCTCGTCCTCCTCCTCCTCCTCTTCCGCCTCCTCCTCCTCCTCCTCCTCCTCATCCTTCTCGTCCGCTCTTGATGGATTCTGGACCATGGGCGTTGGACCCCTGGCTCCGGGGACCCGCGTTGACGCCTGTAGAACCATCTTCGGCCCCTGGAATCCTCCACGATCCCTGGACCCCTCCTCGGCCCCGCGAGTGCGGCCCCAGGACCCCACGTCCAGGAGGAGGAAAAGCAGGAAAGGGAGGAGCACGAGGGGGAGGAGGACGAGGAGGGGCAGGGGGGGAAAAGCAGCACCAAAAGAGGAGGTGCAGGAGTAGGAGCAGGAGAAAGAGCAAGAGCAGGAGGGGGGGAAAGAGGAGGAGTGGGGGTGATGGGGGAGGTCAGGGGGGAGAGGAGGAGCAGGATAATGAGGAATAGGAGGAAGAGGAATAGGAGGAGGAGGAGGAGGAGGAGGAGAAAGAGGAGGAGGAGGAGGAGGAGGAGGAGGAGCAGGAGGAGGAGGAAGAGGAGGACGAGGAGCAGCAGCAACACTAGCAACAGCACCAGCAGCAGCAGCAGCAACAGCAGGAAGTGCAGGAGGATCAGGGGAAGGAGGGGGAGGTACAGGATGATGATGATGATGCTGATGATGATGATAATGATGATGATGATGATGATGCTGCTGATGATGATGATGATGATGATGATGATGATGATGATGATGATGACGAGGACGAGGAAGAGGGCGGAGGAGAAGGCGGAGGAGGAGGAGGAGGGGAGATAGGCACGATGGGGAGAGGGTGGGGGTGGGGGTGCCTCCTCCTCTGCGTCGTCGCCCTCGACCACATACTCATTATCCTCTCCTCCTCCTCCTCTCTTCCTCCTCCTCCTCCTCCTCTCCTCATCCTCTCTCCCTCCTCATATTCCTCCTCCCTCCTCCTCCTCCTCCGCCTCCTCCTCCTCCTCCTCCCTCTCTTCCTCCTCCTCCTCCTCCTCTCCTCCTCTCCTCCTCCTCCTCCTCGTCCTCATCGTTCCCCTCCTCCGTGTCCTCGTCCTCCTTCGCCTCCCCGTCCTTTGAGCTCTGTGACAAATCTTTGGCTCGGCTGGGGGTCGTCGAGACGCAATCAGCAGTGCCGAGACCGCCCCTGGCGACCGCAAAAGCCCCCAGGCCTCTCTTGTGGCCCTAATCGGCCGTGCTGGGGTTTTCGGGGCTCCTCGTTGGCGCCGCTTCAGCTGTCAGGGTGCCCCCTGGTGCCGTCTTGGGGACCTGCAGGACGAGCTTGCACCGTCAAGGAGCATAAGAGGCTGGGCTGCCAGAAACCTCGGAGAAACCATAGGAAAAAGCTAGGATTTGAGCCTCTGGGGGCTCTTGTGGGAAGCCTCTAAGAAGCCTCTCTTGCTGGCGAGGTGGCCTGGCAAACTCTCATGGGGCGACCGTCGGCGTCGCGCAGGCCTGGAAGCACCCTGCAATTCTGGCAGCTTGTGGAGCCTAACTGCTTGGCGACGCTGGTCTTCTCATGCGGAGCCGTCTTGGATCGCAGGCGGGAGCCCCAAGGGCCCGAACCACATCGGCCTGGGCGCCCTCTCGGGCTGCCGTGCAGAGCGGGGATGCATAACCAGCTAGATGATCGAACACGTAGAAAGACCGCTGGACAACAATCATAATAATACCTCAGAGAGCCCTCCGGGGAGGCCTCTTGGAAGCATGCCGTGTCAACGAAATCACTCGGGGGGCTGTCTGCGATGGTCGGCGTTGGACGCCAGACCATGGGTAATGATCATATATATATATATGTATATGTCTGTTGATGTATTATTCGCTTTTTGATACAGACAAACGCCCGCCGACGAATTTGTCCTCGAGGGTGCCCGTATGTAAAATCGCTGGCCCTCGGTGGTATGTACTTGCCGCTATCCCCCCCTCAGGCCCACGAGCAATGGACTGGGGGGCGTCTGTGTAATTATTTGCTCTTTGGCGGAGACAAGAAGGAGGAGGAGGAGGAGGAGGAGGAGGAGGAGGAGGAAGAGAAGGAAGGAGGAGGAGGAGGAGGAGGAGGAGGGCGGCAGCACAGGCGGGCGGCGGGCGGGGAGTGGCGGAAGAGAGGGAGGATACAACTGGAGAGCCAGGCCTGGAGGAGTCGGAGGATCGAGGCGTTTGATCACGATCTGCCCTTGGGCCACCAGCGGCGCCCCTGGCTGCCAAGGCTGGGCTCGCACCGCATGAGCCCGTCCGAGTGCGCCCCTTCGCAGGTCCGGTGCTGGATCCTTGACCCCCCGAGGACAGGTCGCTGGGAAGGGAGTGTTCGGCGGCAACTCAGGGCCGCCTCCCATACCGTCGTTTTCGGCTCTTGCGAATGGACGCAAGGTCGACGCTAGTCGACGCTGTCCCATCGACTGCCAGACGCCAGTCGACGCTTGTCGACGCTAAAGATGGCAGTGCGAGGGCACAAAAGGCTCCCATGATTTGCCACCGAAAAAAGGAGCCCTGGAGGCAAGGGGCCCCTGCATCTACTTCCCACTTTCGCCCCCCCGGGGGCCCCAACGGTCACCCGGCCCGTCCAAGAGCGACTTCGAAACGTCCCGGGGCCTGCGGGGTCGGGCACTTCTGCATGGCGTCTCGCGCTTCGGCGGCTCCGGCGACACGCTGTGCCCTGCGGGCGGACGGCGCGTCGCTCCGCTCCACGGAGTGTCAGGGAGCCCACAAAGGACGTACGCGCCCAGCCATGTACATGAACACGGCCCCTTGACCCGCGAGACCGGCCGCGTGATACGAGCATTCGAGCAGTGCGAAATCTCGGAAACAGCGTGGACTCCTGTACGTGCACGTCCTCCTTTCGCTCCTGAAGTGTGGGGCTCGGGAGGGCTCGGGACGCCGAGGCTTGGGAGAGGGGGCGTGGACAGCGGGCCATGCCGAGGCGTGGGGGGCCGGAGCCGGCGGAGCGGCGCGCTGAGCCACACATGGCGGACCGTGACGCACGTGTCCCTCCGAAGCCCTTTCCTTCCCCCTCTGGTCGTGAGGGGCAACGAACAAGGGCAAAGGAGTGACTGACGGCCTAGGGGGGGAAACATCGACTTGGAATCGGCGATGCATCGCCGACAGATCGGGGATGTGCTGCTGAGAGCAACTCCGCACCTTCCTGGGCAGGGCGGGGCTATCTGAGTCCTATCGGCGATCAATGGGCGGTTGGGGGTCGATGCCTCCCCCCCTAATTATGTCTATCCCCTCCTATCGTTGCCCCTGAGGTCGCCCGAGGTTCCCACTGGCTTGCCACATGGTTTGGTCACCGCGCTGCCGTTTGGGGGCCTCCGGCCCCGGTCCCCGACCCCGCCCCCACCGGAGCCCGAGAGGGGCGAAGCACCCTTTACCAGGCGGAGCGCGGACGCAGGGCACCGTCTCGCCCAGCCGTCGCCGCCGTCGCCGCCCGCCGCAGCTGGCGCCGCCGCCGCCGTGGTCGGCCACGGCGCTGTCGCCGCCAGCGCAGACCGTGCCGCCGCCGCCGCCGCCGTCGTCGTCGTCGCCGCCGCCGCCGCACGTCGTCGGCCGCGGCGTCGTCGCCGCTGGCGCCGACCGTGCCGCCGCCGCCGCCGCCGTCGTCGCCGTCGGCGTCGTCGTCGTCGTCGCCGCCGTCGCCGTCGTCGGCCGCGGCGGCGTCGCCGCCGGCGGCGTCGGGGCGGCCAGCTCGGCGGCGCGGCGGGCCTCGCCGAGGAGGGGCGGAGGGAGCCGCGGGGCGGCGCGGCCGCGGCGCAGCTGCGCTCGGCGGCGCGCGGCGCGGAAGCTGCGGCGCTCCCCCCCCGCGGCCCGAGCCTCCTCGGCCCCAGGACACCCTCCTCGATCCTCCTCGATCCCCTCGCCTCCTCGAGCCCCCCATGACCCTCCTCGACCGAGGGCGAGGGAGAGAGAGGGGGGGCCGGAGGGAGAGAGAATGCGGAGGGGGGGAGAGAAGCAGCAGCAGCACGTGTGACAGCCTGGGGGAGGCGGAGGGGGTGGCGGAGCTCCTTCTCCTCCGTCTCCTCCTCCTCCTCGATCCTCATCCATCCTCCTGGAGCCCCAGCGGTGTTCGGACCGCGCTCTTTTTTTTTTTTTTTTGTCAGCGCACTTTTGGAGCAGGGGGAGAGAAGCTGAGGGGAATGATCCACGAGAGCGGAAAAATATCCGTGTCCGCGCTCTCGCGTTCTGGATTCCGGGGCGCGACCCCGCGGATACGCACTCGCACGGATACCTTCCGCGCGGGGCGTCCGCAACAAAAGCCGCCCCCGCATACGCGGGGTCGCGGCCCAGGGGCCCGGCCCGCGAGGCCGTGGATACGGACATGCATTTCGGAGAATGAGAAGGAGCGGTGAGTGGAACGACTGGCCCTAGCCGGCCAGGGCGGGCACCTGACAGAAAACAAAAGGGTACTAACAATGACGAGCAGGCGATTCGTCGCATAACAATCAGCAGAAGTATTGAAGGAAACGCGTGTGGCTGTCCGCGAGTCCTCTGGAGGCGTCGCTTTCCTTGCCGTCCCGAATATCCGATGGCGTCGCCTCCCCGCCGCGTGGGTGTCTGGGCTGCACTCCACGGAGCGGGACCCTGCTGCGACGCCCCCGCCCTCCGGAGGGTCCACGGCAGCGGGGGCAGCGGGCTCCACAGGGGGGGGGGGGGGGGAAGCGCGAGCTGGTACCGGCGATGCACCGCCGATGCGGCGGCACTACACAGGACCCCGACGGGAGGCACCGAGCGCTAGCCCGGGCCCCGATCGGCGCCCCGGCTCGGCAACGAGAGGGCGATGGGGGGTCGATGCGCCCCCCATGGGCCTACCTGGAGACCTCCTGCATGGGGTCGGCGCGATGGGGTCAGAGGATCGCGCCGCATCGCCAATGCATCGCCGATGTATCGGCGGTGCATTGGCGATGCGGCGATTGGCGAAACCGACGGACCTGGACCCACAAAAGTGACGGCCGCGACGCCCCCCCGCGAATCGAAAACGGCCAATTCGCTGATCGACGTGTCAGGGCAGGAGTCCGATCCACCTCCGATTATTAAGAAGCCCAGGGCACCCATTCCTTCCGCGCTCGTTCCGATCGTCCCGAGGAGGGGGCCCTGGCGCTCGAGGCCCCCCCACCGGCCTCCGCCCGCCCCTCCCTGGCCCCCACCTCGCGCCGCCGCCGCCGCCGTCTCCGACGTCGCCGACGTCGCCGCCGTCGTCGTCGTCGTCGTCGTCGCCGTCGTCGTCGTCGTCGTCGTCGTTCTGTCGCCGTCGTCGTCGTCGTCGTCGTCGTCGTCGTCGTCGTCGTCGTCGTCGTCGTCGTCGTCGCCGCCGTCGTCGTCGTCGTCGTCGTCGTCGTCGTCGTCGTCGTCGTCGTCGTCGTCAGCGTCGTCGTCAACCGCGGCGGCCCCGCGGCGGCGGACCCTTTCTCGCGCGGGCTCGCCGCGCGGCCCACGCGGCGCTCGGCGCAGCGCGTCCGCGAGGTCGGCGGGCAGCGGCGCGGCGGCGCCGAAGGCCTCCGCGGGCGACAGGGGAGGGTGGCCGCGCCGCCGCTCGCGGCGGCGGGGGGAGGTTGTCCACGCCCTGACTGCTCGGGGATGGACAGACCCCCCTCTAGTAAAACGTGGCTTAGTGAAATCGACCTGAGGCCCAAACCTGGCGGGCGCAAGCCTGGAAAATGACGGCCACGGCGCCCCATCGAGAACCGAAAACGGACAATTCACTAATCGACGTGTCACTGTTGGGGGTTCTGTCCACGCCCTGACTGCCTACCAGACCACCCCAGCCCGACCCGAAGACCAGAATTTCGGGTTTGCGGGGGGGGTACGGGTTCTATGTGTGTTTTTGTTTCGGGGTTCCCCGATTCCCCCCCCACTGGAAATGGAGGGCAAATTGGGGCCTTCGGGCATGTTGCTCCCATCGTACTTAAGGACCACATCCCACAAATAATTTCGAGCACCCGGGAAAGCGTCGAAACAGTGTCGAAACAGTGTCGAGCGATCGTCTCCCAGGGCCCGACGCGTGAAAGCCCTCAAGTCTCGGTACTTTCTTGGTGCTCGAGATTTTTGCTGGTGATTCAGGCTAGAGCAGGTTGGAACCTCATAAGCCTTCGGACCGGGTTGGGGTGGTTTGGTGGGTGGCGCCGCCCTACCCACGCCCGGTCCACGCCCTGCCCTCGCCCGGTCCACGCGGTGCTCGCACTAAAGGGCAAGAATCCCCCCCCCCACAATAACCACGCCGACAAGCGAGGCCGTCTAGCAAACGCTCCCAAAGAAAGAATCAAGCAGAGCAGGGCTGTTCAGTATACGCCCAGGGCCGTTCTGTTAACGCCAAGAGACCGCCGTTTCCTGGGAATCGGCGATCACCCGGGTTATCCAGGGGGGGGGGAGGAGGGGGCCGGCCGATAACCTAACCTTCGCGCTGTGGGCAGCCCTGCATGCGCCCGCGCCCCCCCACCCTGGACCTGCACAACCGGCAAGATTAGGTTATCCTGTGGGGGGTGCAAGCCCGATAACCCGAGTCATCGCCGGCTCCCATTGTCGGGTCCGGGTGGTTCATCCCTGCCCCTCGCCCACCTCCTGCTCCTCGGGGTGGTTCTCCCTCCCTTGACTCATCCCTGCCCCTAGCCAACCTCCTGTTCCTCGGCTCGCCCCTCTCCACACGCTGCCGCTATCCGGGGGCGCTCTGTGGGGGCTGCTTGAGCTCTGCTCCACAGCGCGGCCAGGCCGAACCGGGGCCCCGGAGGCCGAGAGGTAGAGAGAGAAAGAACGCCCGGATCGAAAGCGTCATGTCGTGTTGGAGATCTGGGAGAGGAGGTCGGGAACTTTTGCATCGAGCAAATTGCACAACGCAAATTGCACCACATAGGTTGCACGACAAACACTGCACATGATCGCTTGCACCACACAGAGGGCTCTGCATACTTTGCACCACATAGATTGCACCACGTGGCTTGCACCACCTAGATTGAACAGCATAGAATACTTCGCATACTTTGCGCCACACGGATTGCATCAAGTAGCTTGCACCACCTAGATTGCACAACATAGATCGCACAACCAAGTATTGAACTACATAGATCGCACCATATGGTATGTACAACATACATTGCATCTCATATTTTGCACTACACAGATGGTTCCACAGGTTTTGCAGCAGCCATGTTGCTAACAAGTGCATTTGCTTGGGGCCCACGCGGGCTAATATTGTTTGCGACGTCGGTCCCCAAGAATTTAGACACCTCCCCAATGGGCCGGATGTTCACCTGCAGTCGCTTGATAATTCATCCTGAGGTCAATGAACGGCATCCACGGGCCACAAACGCTGAACAACCTGCCGTCGTATGTTTGTTCGACACGGTGGCCCTGGCGGAGCGCCGTGCCTTGTCAGTGAAGGATTCGCGCGTCGCTTCGCCCCGCCAGGCGGGAGGCTCGAACGGGCTCGGGACACTGGCGCAGGGGCTGGCGCGCGTCCCCGAACAGCCTGCTGATGCTGGTGTTGGTTGTGCGAGCAGCCAGACCTGGCCAATGGGGAAGCGCGCAGCGAGACGTGCTCCCAAAGTCGCCAAAGTCCCACCGGCAGGGGGAGAGGGAGGGGGGAGGAGGGGAGGAGGAGGAGGGGGAGGAGGAGGGGGAGGAGGAGGAGGAGGAGGAGGAGGAGGAGGAGGACGTCCCGTCGTGCCGAAAGCCCCTGCGGCCTGCAGGCCCCCGAGGAGGGCAGGTCTCCTCCCTCCAGGGGCCCCGAGCTGTGGCTCCGACCCCCTCGAGGCCTCTTCGAGGCGCCCAGCTTGGCGGCGCCCGCCCCGAGCTGCGCGTCCTCGAGGGGGGGAAGGGGTGAGGGCGGCGCCCTGATCTGCTGGCCCTCGAGGAGGAAGGGGTGTTGATGATGACGATGACGATGACGATGATGCCGATGATGCTGATGATGATGCTGATGATGCTGATGATGATGAAGATGATGATGATGATGATGATGATGATGATGATGATGTTGATGATGATGACGATGATGACGATGACGATGACGATGACGATGACGATGATGATGATGATGATGATGATGATGATGATGATGATGATGATTCTCCCGCTCGCGCGCTAGCGAGCTGTCTCCGAGCGCGGCCGCGGCGTGCGCGCGCGGGGCGGCCCAAAATGGGCAGGCCCGTCCCGCGCGCTCAAGCCGGGGCGCCGCGCGTCAGACGGTGGAGTCCGTCTGGTCGCCGATGTCGGCGAGGCAGCGCCCGTCAGCCTTAGAGTGGGAGAGGAGGGAGGGGGGCAGAGAAGCTGCGGAGACAGCAGGAGCTTGCTCACAGAGAATAGAAGAAGCATTCTCCCGCTCGCGCGCTAGCGAGCTGTCTCCGAGCGCGGCCGCGGCGTGCGCGCGCGGGGCGGCCCAAAATGGGCAGGCCCGTCCCGCGCGCTCAAGCCGGGGCGCCGCGCGTCAGACGGTGGAGTCCGTCTGGTCGCCGATGTCGGCGAGGCAGCCATACCCGTGCTCAAGGACCTTGCGAAGTGACAAGGTTTTGGCGGGCGGCCGCAAGCAGGGCAGGCCAAGCGGCGGGGCCGACTTGGAGGAACGAAGCGACAAGGCGGTCGCTGGCGGTGGTGAAGAACAAGATACGAGCCCGTGCGCGCTCGGGCAGCGCAGCAAGAACTGTGGAGGCGGCGGCGGCTTGCAGGTAGCGCTCGGCACTGGAAGCTTGACGCCAGCGCCCTCGCCAGAAGACGCGGGGGACGTCTTCCGTAGCGATATAGAAGTCTGTTGCGCCAGAGCCCCGCAGACAAGCGGGCGTCAGGTTGAGCCCCTGACCTGCTTTGGCAAGAGGGACGCCCAGAGCCAAAAGCAGATGATTCCACCGAGTACGGAAGCCGCTCGCGCCGAAGGGGGCGAGAGGATCGGTGGAAGCCAACCTCCCAAACACTTGATTCAATATCTTCACCGTGCCCCGATCGGAGCAGCGAGCATGTTGCGTCGGGTACGTTCTTCTGGTCTTTGGAACAAGAATCGAAAGAAAAGCATCCCCTTCAACTTCGAGACGGTCGCATGGAAGCGACAGGTCACAGCGGCGTGACGCCAGCAGTTCGCCAGGCCTGAGGAACATCGTGAAGCCCATGAGCAGCAGGGCCGCCATCACCGGCCAGTCCCAGGCGAGACAGAGCCCGACCATGGCGCGCAGCAGCGCGCGTGGCAAGGGGGGACGGAGCTTTGGCGGCTCCGCAAGCTTCCATTGTTTCGCTACGTCCCAAGCTTCTGTCAGAAAGGCCTTCCAATGCGGATGGGCGCTTTGGATTCCCAAGATGGCATGGACCAAAATATAATGAGGGAAACCTGCATCATGAAGCCACACGCCGAAGGTCGCGAGGAAACGGGCGAGAAGTATCCCGCTTCGGTAAAGTGTGGCGGGTGGCACGCCAGTGTGTTCTGCTAACCACAGCTCGAAGGCATCAATCGATCTCGAGCGACGGTCGAGATACGCGGAGGTGAGGTGAGAATCGCGCACGAAGGGAGTGCGCGGAGGGCGAGCGGGCGCGGACGGCGCAGCCCGACTAAGCCCTTGGCCTGCGGTCGGCGCCGCGGCTCCCAGAGAGATGCAGAGGCCGCAGACGCACCACAGGATGAGCGCAGGGCGGCCAGGGCTTGGAGAGCTGATCAGCGTGGCGGCCCTCCTGCGCCTGGACGCGTAGAAGGGCGGAACGAGGGCGTCCCGCCCGTCGGTCTCGAACCCCGACGCCTCCGCCAGCATCGCCCGCGCCGAGCTGAAGGATCCGCCCATGTTACGGTAGGCACGGCGAGCCCCTGCTTCGATCTCGGCTGGCAGAGCGTCCCCTCCCTCGAGGGTCGCCCAGTCAAAAGGCGGGCGCGGCTCGGCACGCGCAGCTGCGGCTGCTTCGGCGAGCTCGGAACGAGCTGCCGAGGACGTGAAGCCCGAATGATGTGGAACGGGCACCACCTCCGCGAAGGCGTCGAGGATCTCGGACGGAGGGGAGTGGGATCCCCACAGCGCTGCTGGGATGGCGCCGTGACTGTCCTGCACGTGGTACAGAAGGTCGAAAAGGCAGGCCAATTTGCCCGCGCGCCGCCGCTGCTCGATCTTTGAGCCGAGCCCGATGCCACGGATGGCGCCCGCCCCCATGGCTTGGAGGTCAGCATGCGCGGGGATAGCCTCGGGCTCGACGACGGCCACGTAAGGATGCAACCACGAGGCCTCGTCGATCGGCTCGGCGCCGCCTGTCTGAAACAGGCGCTTGTAGGCGTGCAAGGCCCGCAGGAGGCAGTGCAAGTCATCCTTGCCCTCGGGCTCGGCGGCCCCTGCGGGTGCGAAAGACCTCAGCCACGACGCCGCGCTCTGGAAGGCAGCTTGCCAGGCGGGTCCCCACCTCACCACAGTGATCTTCTCACCGCCGATGTTGAGGCGCCACGCTAGGGCGCTGGCGGCCCCTGGAGGCAAGGGCTGCTCAGCGGCCGCAGAGGCCGTGCGCCGCGCTGCGAAGGCTGCAGCCGCGGCGCTTCCAGCGTC